GAGAGAGAGAGAGAGAGAGAGAGAGAGAGAGAGAGAGAGAGAGAGAGAGAGAGAGAGAGAGAGAGAGAGCACGGGCAGTGATCTGTGAAGACGGGCCTGCATGGGCCTGTCCCGTTCATCAGGGCAAGAACGGGGCAGGCATTGACCTTCGGGGGAAAAAAAAGAAAAAAAAGGTTATATTCGAATACAACAATTTTCTCCTCGTGAAATTCAAATATAACGATATTCGAACGCATATGCGTTATATTCGAAGTGCCCTTGTATTTGAAGAAAAGGGTCTAACTTTCCCAAACCCTTTTTTTTGGAAAACTTGAATACAACGCCTATGCGTTATGTTCGGGGGAAGACGGTAGCACCCGGGAAGAGGCTCCATCTATTGGTGGGGAGCTTCACCTGCTGGAAAACGGGTCCAGCATCCCATACACAGAGTGAATCAGGAAGATACCAAGAAAAAGGGTTGAGAAGACGCCTGCCAGCATTGATTATTCTGGCATCCAGAGGATTGACTGTGCAGGTTGTTAAGAAACGGGAGGAAACCTCATCCCTGTGCCAGGCGGCAAATACCTGCTGCTGAGAAGCTCGTTCCTCCCTCCCCCAATTACCCCTACCCAGACGTCGTTATCCAACTACCAGCCTGCCAGCGTTGATTGCCCTGATTTCCGGGGGATTGACTGAGCAGGTGATGCATCTTGTGAAGGAGTGAGCATTTGATAAGCGCTGCCCGGGGGACACCGGGGAGGCTTATCTCATTCTTGTCTGATCCAATGTTAAGTAAAAACTTCCATCAGGGCAAGGGGGTGAGGGAGAAATGGGTCCAGGAAATCAGACGGGGGTCTCATCGGGAAAGATGGATCAATGTGAGTCCATTCATTGAAAACGAGTCTGTAGTCTATCTGACCTTACATCTGGGCGCCCGTGAATGAAGCTGAAGGCACTAGCGTCCAGAGCTTGGTATGCAGTTAGCCCTTTGTTTTTCCTTTTCCTTTGTTTCTGGAAGAGGACTCACGGCTGTTTATGATGTGACTCCCCGTGAGAGACGGGGAGCAACCGGTGCCTGCCAGCCCTCTCTATATGCGAGAATTGTCGTGTCTGTCTGGTGCGTCCGTGTGTCGTTGTGTGGTGTGTGTGTCAAGCTGGATGCTACAGGCGTGCAGGGCTGGGGTGGATATGATGACTGGTATGCTTCCACTTTCGAACACCGTGTCCTTGCTGTAGTCGTTAAGAGACTCAGTTCTTGAGGCTGAAGTCGCCGGTTCGAATCTGTGCTTGCACGGAGGAGGGCCTTGGGCCCAGATGTACGGATCTGTAACTACTATTCCATGCTAATACCGGGGGCGTATAGCATAGGTAGAGGACTTGCTGCTGAGGTTCTGTCAAGGGACGATCACATAGAAGTTCTAAATGATTGCTAATGATTGTGTGGTATGCATGTGTACCACACTGACCTCTTCGCTACAGGTTTGCGGTGTTCGTATGTTCATTGGGGCCATCTGCACCTTTCTGAGTTTTCTTTTGTCATGTTCTCTTTTTTTTTTTTTTTTTTTTTTTACAAAAAACACCCCGAG